TCCCCATCTCCTTCACATCGGAACAGTAATTTTTGCATCCATTCGTTTTTTTGCCGAACGAATCGTAAAATATTCTCTGCAAAAAGCATTTTTTATTGAACTAGGAAAGGGAGTGCGCTTCGCGCGCGTATAAATTGGCCAGTAGTTCATGCATATAAAACTGGAGTTAATATTCGCTCCTATTGTGTTCAGATTCCAGAAAAAACATGAAATCTTTTTCGACAAAGACGTGAATAAAAATTTCTTGTTCACGATTTGCGTTTAATAAAAAGAAGTATCATATTCATTACTATCATTAGTATCATTTATTCATTTAAATCATTTTTTAAGAATTAATATAGAAAAAGATTTTAAGAAATAAGTTTTTCAAAGTAAGATAAACGTCAAATATTGCCAAATCTAGCATAAACTTGATGAAGTAGATTGCCGACCGAAAATGTTTCACTCATTTTTCGATAGAGGATTAGAATTTGACTCCACGATTGCCTTTCGTAAAGTAAAATTCGCCGCAATTTTGTAGATAACGTTTATCCAACTTTTCTCTCCGTGCATTGGCGTGAAAACTTAATCAGTGGATTCGTGTGACGGGATTGCATTTATCCTGGAGAGAATTAAACTGATCCTTCAGTATTTAATCCATGTATAAATATTCAGTGTTTGATATGAAAAGATTGCTCATGACTCATCTTTATCAAACAAGTATTAATATCTAAGATAAATTCGGTGTAAGTGATTCCTGGGGATAACAGGATATAAGATGCTTGAGGAAACAAAGCTTTGGAGGAAGCATCGTAGATTATCAGGTTTACCTGAGGTACAATGGAAGTGTAAATAGATAACGGATAACTTAAGTGTTAATGTGTCTTATGAATTTAATCATCTAAAGGAAGCATTAACGAGTGCAATCTTAGCCGTGCCATTTCAACATTTCAACCATTTAATGATGTAAATATGTTTATACGTGTATGTGCACTAGTGATAATTCATCTTCAATGTCACAATGCAATATCTTCGTGAAGGAAAAAACGCTTGTTATTGATTTTATAATTTTGTTATGAAAAATTATGACGAAAAATATAAAAAATAATGAGTAATATTATAGGAATAAATAAAGGATATGGTCGAATGTCTACTTAAGTATTACAATAGAGCAATGCTTGCCAAAAAATCCATAAGATCGTGAATTTATCATTTTTTTCATAGATTATATCAATAATCGAATTGATACTTGTTAAATAATTGGAAAATAATGTTCATGTAAATATTGTACACGCCGGATAAGTGTTTACGAGTAGATTGTTGGAAGTCTATATGAATGTTATACGTCGAAAAATTATAGAACATGCAGGTCATTGATATTTATAATTAATTGAACGGAAAAATCAAATGTATCGATCAAAATACTTCCATGAATATTTGATTATTAATTACGATCAAGATATCGTGATTATTCATGTTCATAAATTTTAAACGGGCAATTTGTAGTTAAAACTGCTCACTTCCCGCTCATATATTCATTATTTTAAGGTCATCGCACATTGTAATTATTCTTTGGATGCGTGTACGGATGGTTTATTGAGTACACTGATGTCGCTGAATGAAAACAACGGACAAATTGTTCGAACACAATGTGTTTTTTGAATTTATTTTATCAATGTTACGAAATTGATAAATTTATTTGACCAATTTCATGTAACGATTATCTTTGAAATACATGCACCATCTCTTTGTAATAAACTACCGTCAAATGAGTGAAAAATACATATTTCTTCCACCCAAATCTATATACAGACAACAAAATGATATCCAAATACCCAAATCATTTGAGAAGAATAGCTGAGTAGAACAATTTGAGGACAATTAAATTCATGGTTTCATATATTGCTCACGTCGTCTGTGTTGTTTACCAGAAATCAATTTTACGAAGAAAAATGTGAAAAACAGCGATGAGAACAGAATGTGATTTAAAGAAATTATTTTATAAATTTCACGAGCATGTAACCACCTTCGCAATACATGTACGATTTTTTTGTAATAAACTAGTCAAATCAGTGACAGTCTCAATTTCGTAATTCAGTAAAAAATACCTCTTTCTTCCCACAAAATCTATGTACAGATAAAAATCCAAATAAACAAAACATCTGACAAAAAAGTGGCTGAAACAATTTGGGGACAGTTGAATTCATGGTTTCATGCATTGCTCACTTTGTCGATCCTGATGATCCCAAGAAACAACAATGAAAACACAAGGTGTTTTTAAGAATTTATTTTATAAATTTCACGAATATATAACAATTACCTTCGCAATACATGTACGATTCGTTTTATAATAAACTACAGTTAAACAACTGACAGTCTCAATTTTAATAATTCAATGAAAAATCCACATTTCTTCAACAAAATCTATATACAGATAACAAAGTAAGAACCAAATATCCAGAACACTTGAAAAAAAAATAGGTGGGGATAACAATCTGTGAATAATTGAATTCACGGTTTCATGTATCGCCCACGCTGTCGATCCTGATGATCGTAGTACTCAGTGAATATGAGTTTGCAAAGAAACATGTGAAAAACAACGATGAGAAAGCATATGCTGACCCAAAAAAACGTTGGCAATCCACCCAATTGATGGCCATGTTTGTGCAGTGCCATCACGTGGTGGTCATGGGCTGGTGCTTCATCAACAGTATGTACGTGTAGTGCATTCCGTAGATCCTGCATGTGTTGGTGGTCTGATGTTATGTACAATATGGCTGTTAGGGGTTGTGTTAATTTAACTGGAAAATTCGTGTATGTCTGGCTGAGAGGTACAGGCGAATCCAAACATGCAGCGTCACAGGCGTAATAGTCACTGTCACTCCGATCCAGTGCGACACCGAGCACTGCACGATTATCCTCGTTTACTGTTACTGAGATGTTTACGTGGGTGACATTCCCATAGCTTATTCGTCTGCGAAAACAACAAATATCAGGCGTTTCGAGTTTATGATTGTTAGGTAATTGGATGATCAAATGAATGAAAGGTATTGCTGTCGATGACCTAATCAGGGATGCCTTCATTCTTTCAAAATGAGAATACTTTAGTAAACACTGCCTTTTCGTCAGGGGATTTACCTAAAAAGATAGTCTCGATGAAGATACTGTGGATCGATGTTGAACTCCACATGTTGATTACTGAATCTAAGACCCCCAAGACTCAACACAATGGCCTGCTGCACAGCAGTCGGCCCTCCAGCCAACAAATGATGACATCCTTGCTTCTCCAGCGTTATCAACCACGCCTTGACTATTGAATTGACTCCATCAATCGTGGACGTGTCTCTCCACAATCTCGTTGCATCCCTGTGATTGTTTTTTATCGATGTTAAAGGTCGGGTATACTGGGAGGTGGGAAATACTGGCTTTGATGGGGACTTACAGCGTATGGTGGCCACGATAGCAGCCTTCGTTATTGGAAACAGATTTTTCAACGTTCGAAATCCCCTTGGGCACTTGGGATAGGACGTAGTAGATTGTCGAGTTTATTTTATGGCCATTCAAGGCACCTTTGGCTTTTGATTTACTTATGCTGAATCCTGTGTGCCAATAGTGCTTCCATGTGCTCATGTGGTGGTCTTTCAGTGCTTCTGGTTGGGCATTCAGGGCTTTTTTCAGGGCCTGGGGGTAATGTAGGCTCAGTTAAACGTTTTGTTTCTTGTGGTTTTTTAAATTTTTGATTCTGGAGTGAAAGGGAGTAATGGAATTAATTGAAGAATATTTTTACATACTTCAATAGCTTTCCTCTGAGTGACCTCACGCTCAGCCACGTATCTCCTGGAAATTTGTGGCTCACTGTAGGAAATACTGGTGAGAAACTCAATTTTCGTCGAACTTCTGGGTTTTACTATCACACTGTTCTGTGGAAGTTTGTATAATATCGAAACTACTATTATTTGACTTGAGTCTGGCAGAGGTACGTAACCAGATGTCATGATGTAGTCATGGTTTTTGCCATCCACTTGGATGCTAGAAATGTTGAGCAGAATTAGTACATTCACATCTCCATTTCAAATTATTTCAAATTATGAAAATGTTCATGTTTAGTATATTCCTAAATTGAGGATATCCAAGTACTTTAGACTTTCTTCTGTCCCATTTAACACAAGATTATTGAAAATTTCACAATGGTTTCATTATTTGAGCTTTAAATGTCTAAGCGTGATTCTTCAACTTTTGAAGAAAATTTATAGAATAATTAAAGAACATCAATTTTGAAAATTGATGATTATGACCTTTTTCAAAAATAACTTATAAACAATCAATGCCCCACACTAATAATCATTTTTCAAAATGACCATCAATTTTTCAATAATTAAAAACTTTACCAGAAATCAATTTCATGGCAAAAAAAATCAGTTTGCGAATGGTTAGAGCATTCCCATTATTCTTTTATGACAATTTTTTATAATCCTCAGAGGAATCCCATATAGAACACATGATTCGTAAGAAGAGAATGTTCAAAAGAGTTAATTGTTTGCAAAATGTTCAGATTTTTCTCACGTAATTCAATTAACAAATCAGATACAAAGGATATTTTCACGAAAAATTCGCCCCCCCCCCCTTACATAAATAAACAATACTAACTTCACATTTTTAGTTTCATAATCAGTCCAATGTGGCACAGTATTCAGCCTGAGTGGTACCTCCTGAGTAACACTAGAAGGATTGAAAATAGTGATATCCTCCACGAGAATTCCCTCAAAAATTCTGTGCGCATAGTACTGAGTATCTACGTGATATCCACTCCTCAGACACTGATACTTATAAACAATTCCATCCGTAAAGTGCATGACAGTTGCCTCACGATGTGGAGTATCGTCGGGCAGGGGAACCGATACGAGAGGATCCCACTGTGCGAAGAGAGAGAGTGTACGTCCCTGACGTATGTACAAACGCCCAACTGGGGATACTTGAACTCCGAATACACCATTGCCAATGTATGGCAGGTAATTCTGGTCTTTTTCGCTCGGTGGGTCATTTAAAATTGTTGCATCATCGTTTGCTACATCGTAATGGAAATTCAAGAGCCTCTCACGTATGCATTGATCCTCAAATGCTGGAAATTGGTGAAAAGTGAATAGTTTTTCCATTTATTCATATTCATTTTAGTACGTCAATAATGATGATATATTCTATCATTACAATAAGATACACTCCAACAATAAATGTAAGATATAATATAATATAATATATTGCAAGAAAATGCATTAGACTATTGGGAAATTACCCCCACAATTTCAAATGTAAAATGGAAATTTCGAAGTTCAATGGATTATTTTACCGGGGGAGTATCTAAAAATCAATCCTAGGGTTAAATTGGTGTTGTCGAAAATGAAACTACCGGATAAATAAAAAAAATGATGACCGCAAGGAGAAATTTTACTCCAGAGTTTATTTTCTTAACAGGGTTTGGTGTAACTGGGCCAAATTAACTTAAGTTAAAGTTAATTTCGGAAATATTTACTAAAATTGTCATTTCTAGGTCCATATAACAATAAAAATAATTGAAAATTGTAAAAATTTAAGCAACTATTCTTTTGAATTTTCTATCTGGTAAAAATGTAAGTGAATGTGAATTTTGCCTTTTACAAGGTGTTTAAAAATTCAGTGCATCATTGAAGTATCAATGATCGCCTAAGATCAAAAGCTCAATGTTATTAAATTTCCAAGATAAATAAGGAATTCCATCAACAACTGGACGTTAACTCCTTAAATTGCAAAAAATTCCTAACTGTAGAGTATCACAGAAGATATTATATTGTATTATATTATATTTATTCATTTATTGTGGATTATCCGAATGACTTTCGAGACGTTCCCCTCACCTTCCACAGGCTCTCGATTCCCAGAGAACAGCCAGTGTGCGAAAGGCTGACCAAAATAAAGGATAAACCCACCCACAACAATCAGGAAGAGAAGGATTTTACGACACGAATAATTTCCATCGAGAAACCTTCGCACCCGCTTCCCAAACTCACGCACATCGAACATACCCCCAGTCCGCATTTTCAGTCGATATTTCAATAAATAACAATTTACAGGAGGGATTTAATACACACTGATGTACGAGACAAACAAACATAACCCTACTTGGCATTAAAAACCCGGTTGAGAGTATAATTTACGAGAAAACTAAATACTTTAGATCCATTCTCCATTTACTTAATCCATGGAAGCAGGATTTTACTGATATTCATGCGGTTTTGGGAATAATTCTATGCATTTTCAATACTGCGACTGAGTAAACAAACGTCATTTTAGGAGGTTATAACTACTGTTCGGTACTTCCCCGCTGTGTCAATAGACCATTGGTCTCGTGGGCGGGGACCAATCATGTGTCGCCATTCGAATAAACGATTCTGTTTCAAAGAAAATTATATAGGAGAGATTGGGGTAAAACGGACACTTTTGACTTTTTTTAATTGTTAATGAGGGATTGAAATGTTGGAAAAATTTAATAATTTTTTTTTCAATACAGGGAACAATTCTTTCCCTTTGTGGCGAGCCAAAACTGAGCTCAATTGATAAATTTGTTTCTGACTTATGAATAATTTTAAAAAATTCTAAAGTGTCCATTTTACCCCACCCTCCTCTACATGAAATATACATGAGAACCTATAGTATTCTTCAAATCAATAAAAATGATAAATATTGCAAGGAAATGTTATTGACGAAATTATTAAGATTTCACTAACGAAGTGGTAAAATAGTTTAAGGTCCGGTTGCGCCGAGCCCATTTGACCCCTCACGGAGTCCTTCTGTTACGAAGCGTAGTGTATGCTCATTACGACTGGAATGCGATTATCCCTAATGAATGAAAAATTATGAAATCGGTATCTAATTGAAGCTGCATTATTCCTGTTTTCAATTTTGTTTGTCTGATCAAGTTATTCGGGTTTTCAATTGAAAACCCACACAGGCGTATATATATATGGGGAAAACCCCTTGAGGAATTAAGGGGAAAACTCATTCAACATCTAAATGATAGAATTAATCGTCACCAATTTCAGTGCCCCATTTTGTCCCATGATTGTGGATCAATCAAGTGGTTACATTCGAAAAGACGATTCCTCTTCGAACGAATAAGAAACTACTTAATTTGTAACATAAATAACAATAATGAATATTAAATATGAAGAAAACATAATTAATGGAATTATTGAGATTCTATTTCTATTCCAATAATATTTGATATCGGACTGGAATCCCTTCACGTGATTCGAAATTACACAACGAAGAAAACATTTAAATCTAACGATGAATGAGTATATTAACTTCATCAATTAAAGGCTAATTTGAATCGAATTAATGGAATTGATTTCGTAAACAAGAAGCTCCTTCATCATTACTCTTCCATATCAACTGGCATGCAGCCTGGCAGACCCACTGACGTGAATAAATAAAGCTGCAGGTGTCTCCCTAAACCAATTACAACAGATGCTATAAAGTTACTTATATCACCAAACAACACCCAATATGAATCATACTATTCCGGAATAAAAAACCCCCATCGATAGCGATGGTGAACCATAGTTCCCGCGCCACTTCCCGCACATCCTCTTGTCATTCGGGATATGCCTAGTGTGCTATACAATATTCCCCTCCTCGAAAAAAAAAGTTCTAATGCCTCCAGTGAAACGAGCAATCCGCGTGCCACCAATTGATGGCTGTCATCTCGCTGCGTCTCTTTTTTCATTCACAAGTATTTTCGATTAAATTCGATTGACACCGCATGCACGCCGGACAATTTATCATTCATTCATAATTCATCTGCGAATTGCTGCGCATGCAGATTGGAAATCCATGAATGATTCTGTTTACCCAATATTCCAATGCGTGTTTCACCCAGTATTTAAATATCATCTATTCTAACACCCAATGACCCCCAAAAGAACCAACAGCACTGGGGAAAAACCAATGAAACCAATTAATCCCGAATTAAAGAATGGTCTTTGAAAGCCCACGACTTGGATCATCGTGTTAGTAGAGCACGCTCGATACAGCCCCCTTTTTTTCAGAATAACTCTCGAACGGATGCGGGGACAGATCGGTGTCACGTGAACCCCTCCGGATATACCCAGCTTCCTAGTCTTGCTCACCTACTCTAAACTAACCGATCCGTTTTATCCTCAGCATCGTTTTTTGTTCTCCCGTAAAAATCATTAAGAAAAAAATCCCTTCCCCCTGTAAAACGTCCACCCCTTCTGATCCGCCAAACCCCTTCCCTCTCCCCCGGCCCCTAAAAAAATGACGAAGGAAATGGGAAAAGCCGTGCAATATTGGCTGGCTACGACGGATGGTGACGGAGTCACGGTGAAAATTCTTCCGTTTGTAATAAAGAATTTCAGGCTGTTGGGCGCCGGATGGATACTTCTACAATAGAACACACTTGTGCCCCCTCTCCCCTTCGTGATATTGAGGATAGGCTGGATAAGGGGCCGGGTGAGACCCATAGGCAGTCCGTTGTCAACGCTTGATGATGATATACCGTTGTGATCCTCATGGCTTACCCCTCCCTCCGTCAGAGGCAAATTTTTTTTTTACAAAGCTCGATGGTAATCATTGGAGCCCATATCTCTGGGCGTTCAATGGTCTTGGGGTTATTTTGGGGACCTCCGAGGCATCAGGATTTTCCAGAGGGCTCGCGCTGGCGCGACATATCAAACATCACTACATCCCTCCCCTTCGCTGTTCGTAGGTGATAGGTGGGGGAGATGTTTCAAAGGGAGAACGAAAAAGCCCCACTCCTTGATTTTTTTTTTTTTCAAACCCAGGCCCGTTGATAATAGGTATCAAACCACAACGGATCGCAGTTCCTCGCGCGCTGGATCGACGCTCGCACGCGTCCTTTTTACCTTTAACCGAGAGGTGACAGAAGTTTTTAGCGTTTTTAGTATTTAATCGTGCTGATTGATCATCTTTTTGAAACATAAATGTGGATTATTCTGGAGGGCTCCAGTGCGCGAAAAAACGGAATTTAATATTTTGGGGGTAATTGTGCTACGGGACTCGGTGACTGGCTGTCGATTGTGCGCGAGGAATTTTCAAATAAATCAACGGTACAAGTTCAAGGAGGATTCGCCTGTCGCTCGGGTTCGTATCCCAGAGGAAGTTATGCTTTTCTCATTCAACTTCTCAATATTGCAGGATTGATTACGGAACAATTGTTGGGCTTGATGAGCGTAGGATGAAGGCGGATTTGAGAGACGGTACTTCCTCGGTTAATTAGAATATAGCTGTTTTTTATGAGCGTGGAAGAGGAAGAGGGAACTGATGGGTGAACACTTTGTGGTGGGGAACAGAGAGGGGGGGGGGGGGGG